AGGGAAATCACATAATGTATTTGCATTTCAGAAGGGATTCAAGGGGAGAAGATTGAGTTAGGAAGACCAGTTAGGAGGCTCTTAAGACAATGGGGGGTGGGGGACAGAAGGCCACAGAGATGGAGCAATGAGGGATAAAGGGGGACACCACAGAAGCCTCTTCCAGCCTGGTGGCCTTGAGAAAGGGGCAAGAGTCAAAATGCACCTGTGTTTCCCACTTGGCCAAGCAGCCAGAGGGTGGTGTCATTCTGGAGGAGAAGCCCAGAAGGAACAATAGGTGGGGGCGGGAAGGAGGGGAAGAAGGGGCTTATGGGTTCCTTTTGACGCTCATTGCTATGGAGGCGCCTATGAGGTGTCCAGGAAGGAGGCGGCCTGATGAACAGGTTTGGAGTGGCAGAGAGAGTTCTGGGGTTGAGGTGGAAGTGCGACAGTCCCTGGAGCCACAGGGAAGTGGATCTGCCTGTGCAGTGCATGCGGCCTGCAGACAAGAAGGCCAAAGATGAGCCCTGAGGAGTGGAGAAGGGGTGAGAAGGAGTGGCGGGGAGGGTGCAGGAAAGCCAGGGAACCTGGTGTCGGGGAAAGCAGAGGCAGTTGCAAAGTGTCTGGGGAGAGGAGCCTAAATACTTCCAGGGGAGTCTGGAAGGTCTGGGAGGGCAGAGCTGGCCTACTGCACACCCGTGCTCAACAAATCACTCATGAGTGAAAAGATGAAAGCCTTAGGTAGGTCATGACCAGCCAGGGAGAGGCCCCAGCATATTCACTTCTCCAGGCCAGTAGAGCAAGTCAGAGGGGAAAGTTGCTCAACTAGATCAGTCCTAGGATCTACCACCCTCCCCACGGGGCCAGCTGTAGCACCTTTCTTATTCTCCCATGCCCTTAGGAATGGGCAGGAACACTGAATTTCACAGAGGCATGAGAGTTCCCCCCAAGTTTTCTAACAGGAGCTCACAGCACAAATTGTCACAGAGGGAAAAAAGCGAACCCTGGGAAGCTTATCTAATATATCATGAGGTGGCTATTCTGGGACTCGAATTACACAGGAGGGCCTGGGAAAAAAAGACATGCGCACAATGAGCACAGCTACAATTAATGTTAACTACAAGGTGTCATATCTTTACTGCACACTCAGCCAGCAGTACGGTTCAGGCAAGAGGAATGGGAATGAGAGCCAAGACATCTGCCAGTGGAGGCACTACTTCCCAGGAAGGCACAGTCACCTTGGGCAAGGTGGCTTCTGAAGTTGGAAATGCAACCATGATGGGAAGTTCAGACTCAGGACAGGAGGGACAGGTAGAGGGCCAAAGGATTTCCTCTGTCACCACCTCATGGAGAGTCCACAGACACAAAGCAGATAGGGCCCGTGAATAAAAGGAATCAGTTTCCGAACTGGTAAAGCTTTAAAAAAAATCTCAGTAACAATGCGGAGTGTTTGCGTGTAGTAGGGTAGGAGGCCTGTGGATCAGGCCACTTGGGTGTGCGTCCCAGCATTCCCATGTGCCAGCTAATAACCCTGAACAGGCCAACCACCTCTAGAGCCTCAGTTTATTCATCTGTAGCACCTCACAGTAATCCCTCTGGCAGTCGACTTTATCAGGTAATGTATATTAAAATGCCTCCACGGCCTGCAGCCTCTCTGTGAATGCCATCATGTCACTTATCCCCTGCCTTGCAAAGGCGGCTGTGGGTATCTGACTCCCAGGTACACCAAGGGAGCCACCAGGGCGGCTAGTGCTCATGCCTGATTCCTCTTTTTACTTCCCACTGGCAGCCATGTTATCTAGTACACGTTAACTGCTCAAACATGTTGGTTGAATAAACAGGTCACCGGTATGTAAAAGGGGGAATATTACACAAAGAACACAGTGTTTCCCATCACTTAGAGCTAGGAAAGGTATTTTCTAATGTGAACTGTTACTAAAATATTCTACTCTGAGTCTAACCTTCTGTCCAATCTCTGTTTGTGTCACATAACATTTGTTTTCCTTGAGAACACCAACTGTGTCACAGTCATTCCATTTCACTTAAGCTCCCTGTAGGCAAGGACTAGGCTTTGCTCAGAGCTGTACCCCCAGTGCCTAGAACAGGGCCTTGAGCTTAGTACAGCTCGATAGGGATTTGATAAATGAATGAATGGTTTCTAACCTACAATACAATGCTAGGCATTCAGCAGCTGTTTGTTGAATGAGTAAATGATTAAACGAGGGGAACAAGTTCTCTTACTAATGTCCCTTACTAATGCTCTGAACAGAGTTAGTATAACAAGGTGGGTAGGTAGGCAGGCTCTGGAGTCCAGTGGTCTGGGTTTGAATCCTGGCTCTTCTGCTTATAGATGGATGACCCAGAGTGAGCTATTGAACCTCTCTGTGCTTCAGTTTTCTCATCGTAAAATGGGGATAATAATAATTTTTCTAGTACGATTATATAACTTCATTTGAAGGATCCATAAAATATTTAGCACAGTGCCTGGCACATAGTAATTGCTGCTATTTTTTATGACCGTATCAGTCCCTTAACAACCTTCAGTGCTCCCCTCCAGCCTCAGAATAAGATCCAAAGTCAAAGTCTCCACAATTTGGCCCCATCATCACACACTTTAACATTACCTTTTACTGACTGTTATGCTGTGCCAGACACTCTGCTTAAAGTGATATATATCCATTAATTTGTTTCCCTTCTCACACAACCCTGTAAGGTGGGACTCATGATTGCCCATATTTCACTGACAATGTGACCACAGCTCAGAAATGGGAAGTAATTTTTCCAGAGACACACAGCTTATGGAAAGTGGGCTGCTACTCCAGGATTCTCTGATACGAAACTTCATGCTCTTATTCTCTGGCCTATGAAATCCTTGCTATACAAAGTGTAATCTATTGACTAGCACTACCACCATTACCCTGGAGCTTGCTAGAAATGAAGAATCCTGGACCTTACCTCTGAACTACCAATTCAGAATCTTCCATTTTGCAAGATTCCCCAGTGATCAGTGTGCACAGTAGTTTTAGAAGCACTATTGTAAACCACTTTCTACCAGACACAAGTACTAATCAAATAAAACACATCTCATTTAATGCCTACAACAATCAAGGAGGTAACAGGAGGTCAGCATTATTATACCTTTTTACATATGTGGACACGAGGCTCTGAGGGTGAAGTATCTTTAACTGAGCCTACATAGGCCTGACCCCAGCATGATGCTCAGCCGTACCCAGTCCCAACTACCTCCGCTTGGAATGTCTTCACTCCTTCGCTCACCCTTGAATCATTCTCATCCCTTTCAGGCTCCACTCAAAATCCCTTCCTGTTATATGAAACCCTTCTCATCCACATCCCTTGGGTGGATTAATTACTTTTTTCCTCACAATCCCACAGCTCCCTGCACATATCTTTCTTTTGGCCTTAGTCCATTCTTCGTTAAAGAACTGTGTACTGAGCACAAACTGTGTGTCAGGCATACAGTGGGCAGTGAGTAAATGTTTGCGCCCACAGCAGTGCTGATTGAGCTTATTAAATTATACACTGGTATATCCCCCCTGGACATTTGTGTGCTTCCTCACTGCCCTGAGCGCCTCTGTGTTCCCGGAAACAAACAAAATGCTCTTCATTCTAAAGACAAAATCTGCGCTTAAGAGTAGAGTGTTACTGGGAGTGAGACCTTCCAATTTCTGAGGGTAGCAGAGGGTACGGGTGAGGTGATGGGTGCCTTACTGCTCACCAACCCTGATCTTAACTGCCTATTGTCACAAAATTCTGCAGATATTTGAAAATCAAACCCTCATTTTTTCAGACAATCAAAGGATGGCCCAGAAATAGTAGGTATCCTCTTCAAATTCCTCGGGGTTTCAAATCAGGTCCCCAATAACCTTCTGTCATTTCACAAGTAAACAGGGCAAAGGTGGCTGTAATGTAGGGCAAAGATCTCTGCAACAGAGAGAACCTAATAGTCTCCAGGTACTGCCTCTCCTTTACAGGGAGACCTGGACAAACCACATGCTTCTAGCCCTCAATTTCCTTATCTGCAAAATGAATGAAGGAGTTGGACCAGATTCTAAACCTCCTTCCAGATCTCAGATGCTGAGCTATAAAATGAGAGAAATGTGAACCTTTGGTTGCTATGATCTGAAAATATTTTGAATGCATAAAATCAAACTGTACAGCAGTGCATGAACAAAATAATATGTTAATGACTAAGAAGATCGTATTTAATCCAATGGGAAACAGCTGAGCTGCTGGTGTGTGTGTGTGTGTGTGTGTGTGTGTGTGCGCGCGCCTGTGCGTGTGTGTCTTCCTTCCTTGAGCTCAAACATGTATTTTGAATCATTAATACAGTAATCAGGCCTCTGGCAGCCTATCTTGCTCAAACACACACACACACCCCACGTCAAATTTAAATGGGGAAAGATTCCACTGCTGCTTAGACCCTTGCTATATTTGGGTGGCTCTTTTTTTTTAAGAAATTTTTATTGCGGTGAAGGCATTGGATTGACAGCCTCTGGAGCTCTCAGAACTGGGTCGTGGGTCAGGCGCTGAGGGTTTTTATTAGCATTTCACTTTTGTAAACCAGCCTCCCCTCCTCAACTGTCACAACCGTCACAATCCAGTCTAGCAGCAGGGCCACTAGAGCCTCGGCGCAGGAGTGGTCAGATCGGCAGCCCCAGAGCACGTGCTCGGGGCCTGCCCACGGGGAAAATGAACGCGCATCTGCAGTGGGTCTGGCCAGGCCGACCGCAGGAAGTCCCCAACTTGTCCTTCATCGAAGGACCAGGACCGGGAGGCGAAAGCGGGCCAGAGGCCGCACGCGGGTCTGACTACGACCAGCTCCCAGCGCCTGCCCACCCTGGAGCCCCCGCAGGCCTAGGCGCTGCCGCGCCCCCGGGGCACCCCGCCGCCCCTGCCTCCGCCCGGTCGCCCGCGCCGCTCCCGCCCCCTCCCCGCTGGACGGCCGCGCCCACGCTCGGCCCGCGCGGATTGGCAGGCCTCGCGGCCAGGTGAGGGGCCCCGCCCCTCAGCGGCTCCAGGTGCCGGGCTGGGTCTAGGGCCGTGGCCGGGCCGGGGCCGGCGGCCGGGGCGCCATGGCCGAGTCCCAGCTGAGCTGCCTGGACGAGGCGCACGTGAACGAGAGGGTGACCGAGGCGCAGGCCGCCTTCTACTACTGCGAGCGGCGGCGGGCCGCGCTGGAGGCGCTGCAGGGCGGCGGCGAGCAGGCCTACCGCGAGCGGGTCCAGAAGGAGCGGCTGCGGGACTTCCTCTCCAGCCAGGAGCGCCAGGCCCTCCGCGCCGCCTGGAGCCCCTACCCGGCCGCCGCCCCCGCCGCCGCCGTCCGGGCCAAGGCCAAGGCCCCGGCGCAGGCCCCGGCCGAGCCCGGCGGGTCCCTGGCCTACTGGCCCGATTGCTCCGACACCGAGGTGCCCCCGTTGGACTTGGGCTGGACCGATGCGGGTTTCTACCGCGGCGTGAGCCGCGTCACCCTCTTCACCCATCCCCCCAAGGAGGAGAAGGCGCCCCACCTCAAGCAGGTGGTCCGACAGATGATCCAACTGGCCCAGAAGGTAGACCCCGCCCCTGCCCCCCACGCCGGTGGGACCCCACAGCCAACCCCTCGGACCAGGCCCCACCTCGCAGGCAGGGCCTGGGTCAGGCCGCCCTGACCACCCTCTGGAAAATGGGCCCAGAGCCTCCCCTTTCTGTCCTGGGCTGGTGAGTCCTCTAGGGAGCATGGATGTGAACTTGTTTGGCAAATTACCAGGTGCTGGACAGCTGTTTGTTATCATTATTTCAGTTTACAGAGGCGCTGGCTTTCCTCTGCGCTTGACTGTTTCCCTGTTGAGATATCCTAGGGAAGAGTCAGGGATGTGGGGCTTTATGGTAAAATCAGCCACCTACTTGTTGCCCAGGGATTTACAGAATATATCCCTGGCCATTTAATCATTTGATCATCCATCAACCCCAGGGAGTGGGTGGTGGGACCTGCCTACACACACCCCAGCGTGCTGCTATTAAGAAGTTCCCCATAGTCAAGACTGGCCTGGCCCCTGGCATTCACACCCGGTCTGGGCCCAGTGCTGAGCTCAGGCAGCCTGGAATGAATGAAGGAATGTTTTTGAGAACCTACTAGGTGCCTGGCTCTGTTATAGGCACTTTGATAAGGCAGGTGGCTGGACTCAGCAGCTCAGGAAAAAGCTCCCACGTATGGCGTCTACCCTGCTTGGGGGCTGAAAGTAGAGGATGTTCCCAGATAGGCAGGTAAAAAGAGATGGGGCCAGTGAGTTGTGGGGCAGAGGGAAGATTTCGTCTTTACTCTGTGCCTTTGGGTAGGGGTACCTGAGCAGGGTTTCCAGGTAAAATTCAGGATGTCCTATTAAATTTGAATTTCAGGTAAACAACAAGTAATTCTGTAGCATTAGTGCACCTTAAATATTACATGGGACATACTGAAAGAAAAAAGTTATTCATTGTTTATCTGCAATACAAATTTAATGGGGGCATTCTGTATTTTAATTGATAAATCTAGCTCCCCTACACTGAGATGTGTTAACAAACGCCAGCAGCCTTTGCTACCCAGTTCAGGATATATGACAGAAGTGGCTTGGATTTACCACTCTTAATTTAACACAGTGAATGTGGTTGGAGTCCTCTTACCCCTGCGGGCTGAACAGGATGGGGGAGGGAAGATTAACCTAGAAAGACCAGTGGGGTTGGGGAGGCCTCCTCTTCCTGGAAAGGGTGATGCATTTTGGCTTAGATTGGCTACCAGAAGGGTCAACTTTTCACTGTCTAGGCTTCTACCCTCACTCTCTTAAGTAATTCCTCCTTGTCTGCCTGAGGTGGGTTTTATTTGTATTTTGTTTTTGTTTTTTGTATATTGCTTTCTGCAGAAGAGAAAGGCAAGTTTGAATAGAGCAGGAGAAAGGACTTAAATGACAATACTATGCAGCAGGCTGCAGCTGGGGTCAGGGGTCAAATTTCATGATGTAATACTAACAAGCCTCAATTTATTGGCATTTATTATGTACTAGCCACTGGACTAGTGATTTCCCTGCATTTTCTCTTTTGCTTTTCACAGCTAGGTGAGATGTATATTTTCTTTATTTTTGGATTCAGAACAGTTACTTGCCAAAGTCCTTGCTCTTAACCACTGTGTTACCCTGCCCCACTGTCTGCTGATGGTACAGCAGGATTAAACCAAGAAGCTTAAATGGAGCTGGCCTGGTCACAACCTGGGATATAAGAAGGGAGAGACAGGGCCTCTGCTATCTGAGGCTTCTAGTACCATACGGGATGTCAGGAGTCTCCTGTGTAGGGAAGTGTTCTTAACTGTAAATATTTAACAACAGAAACTTCAACTTTGTGAACCAATCCAATATGTACATACTTAACCAGTAGTTATTTCCCAAGTGTCTACTGTGTGTCCAGCACTCGCTATAGGAGAATATCAGCTTCGGCCTTTGCCCTCCAAGAATTTACTCATGTGCTGGGGGATGTGCTGGAAGAAAAAGATTTTTTGAGGCTGGATGTGCCTCACCGAGGAGCAATTCCCAAGGGAGGTGAATGGCAGCATTGAAAGGGGAGAGAGAAGATACTGGAACAGGCAGTTTCTCCATAAGAGACTCTGCAGCAGGAGCGAGAGATTTTTGCTTCAAAATAGCAAGAAGCTTTGGCAGGAGGAAAGAGCTGTGCTGATGGGAATAGAGGACTGTGGGGGGCCTGGTGTGATGGTCCTAAACCTGAGTTCAACAGATGACCACCCACCTGGGAAAAGCAGCTTCTACCCGTCTGTGCCCACTCTACTCCCAGGCCCTCCTAGCCCCCACCTGTAATCACTGTCACTCACGTCTGTACAGCACCTTCTCAAACAGCCCATGAAGTAGGTAGACACAGAAATTGACCCTGTTTCACAGGTAAGGAAACTGAGGCACGGAAAGGAAAGGGGCTTACCCAAACATCACGTGTTTGCCTACAGAAAGACCCAGACCCTGAGCTTCCGCTCTAGAGGCTGTACCCTCTGAACACTACCTGCCCGCTCCCACCCCAGCTTGTCCAACTGGCAAGCAACCCTCCTCTTCACCGCTGTTACTCCCTGTCCTTCCCTTTTCACCTTCAGGGAGAGTCTGGCTGCTGTGAGGCCCGGTGAGGCAGACTGAGATGGTTTATGTGCAGAGATGTGGGGGCCTGTGAAGGGAGGCAGAAGGGCCACCTTTGTGCCTGAGAATTGTATATTGTATCTCATTTAATCTTCATGAGGTGCTGTCATTTTTATTCCCAAGTGACAAACAGGAAACTGAGGCTCAGAGGGAGTGGCTGTGACTTGCCCACAGCTGCAGACCAGGGAGCGCTCCCAGCCTGGGCCTCAGGGACACAGAGCAAGAAGGCTAACTAAGTGGACACTTTGAAAATGTGATTGAGGGTGGGGTGGAGGGGGAGAGGGTGTTGTTGGGCAGTAAGGAAACAGCCCAGCAGGTGTGGAGTGGGACCTTGCAGAATGGCAGGAAGGCCTTTGAGGTGGTCAGTCTCAAGTCATCTGCTGTCTGAGCCTGGGCCACGGTCAGAATGCCCTTGTGGCTGTGCCGGGAAGCCAGAGTTCAAACATGTGGCTGTGCTTACTTCTCTGGTGGGGTTTTTTCCCCCTTGAGTCATCTGCTTATTTTGGTGTCACTGAATAATGTACTTTGCTTGAACTACAGGAGGAAAGGGTGCCTTCAGGGACCCAGAAACGAGTTCCTGGTCTGTCCCACACTGGGACAGGAAGGTTGCTGGGGCTGCTCAGATCATTTTAACTGCTGGGGGTGGACTTACAGTGGGAGTGTGTGGACTAGGGAACTTTTGGTTCTTTCTTTTGAGGACAGAATGGAGGACCGAACTACTGCAATTTGGTCATTAGGCAAATATTTCAAGGTTACTGTGTGCCAGTAGAAAACAGACATATAAAACACACCCCTGCTCTTAAATAGCATAATAGTCTACTAAACCATCATTATAATACAGAATGATGAGTGCTTGACAGAAGGTGAGCAGGAGGGACACTAACCCAGCCCTGAACCGGGCTAGGAAGGACCTTTGATGCCGAGGACCTGTCCACGAGCATGTCTGAACGGGGCGGGAAGGATGAGCTTGCACCCACCCAGCTTTGTGCCTGAGCTCCCTTGTGACCTGCAGCATCTACTTTTGAGGCTGCTGGGTGGGTCTCAAGAATATTTTCTGTGCTTCAGGAACAGGGGGAAACCTAACTGGCTCCCCTCCTCAAAGGCTGGCCCTTAGCCCCTTCTTTCCTGGGCCCCACACCCAGTGCACCAGCTTCCCAGCTCTTCATTGCTTACCACAAACTACCCCATTTCCTTTGAGCCTCAGTAACTGTGGAAGGCAGATTACTATCTTTATTTCACAGAGGAGGTCTCTGAGGTCCAGAGGGGTGAAATGACTTGTCTGCAGACCAAGGACAAGGAGATTACACAACTTCCCCAGGTCCCAGATCAAAATTAACTACCAATGACTCCACAAAGATTGTAAAGGTCACCTGGGAGAGGGAAGTTGCTGGACTGGGCAGCTTTTGTTTTTTTATAATGTGTATAAGGTATTTATTAACAGACAAGACCCCTACAGATTAATTTCTTCTTGGATGCACCCACCGTGCTGCCATGGCAGCCTGTCATCTTGGTGAGCTGGCCTTGGACAGAGAGTCCTCAGAAGTAGCCCTGGGCCTGAATCTTCTTCAGTCACCCCAGGTCTTCACAAAATATGTTGTCCAGACCATTAGCCAAGACCTGGCTGTATTTTCCACCCTTCACATCCTTCTGTCTGTTCAAGAACCAGCCTGGGATCTTATACTGGTGTGGATTCTGCGTGATGGTGAGCACACATGCCACCTCCTCCTCAGTGAGCTGTCCTGCCCTCTTGGTGAGGTTGATGTCTGCTTTCCCCAATGCCACATGAGCATATCTTCTCCCCACACCCTCAGAGGCAGTGATGGCAAAGGCTCCTTTCCGCCGCCCTTCAGTGGTGGTGTTGCGTACTCACACAACGTGCTGGAACTCCTCAGGGATCCCTAGGCGCATGGCAGCAATACTAGAGTGGTGGGCGGGCCTCCTGTGAAGACTGGGCCTGACAGCTTTGATTGACAGGAGCTGCTCCTTTATGCCTGTCACCATGGAGGAACTGGCCTGCCTGGCAGATGGGGCACAGAGGGGCATGGGTCGCAGGCCCAGCCTACCCCAACTCTGCCTGTTGGTGGGGTCGTCCCCTTTCCTTAGATGCCACCTCTTCTGGCGCTTTATCAAATTTTCAATCCAAAAGTGACTTTTTGTTCCAAGTGTTTCCTTGTTTGTGCCACCTGTGTGCCTGCACACAGTTTGCTGTGGGAGAGCGCGTTTTATCCTTGGGGACTGGGAGCTTTGGAAGAGCCAAGACTCCATCTTACCCCTCTCCTATCCTCTGTAGGGTGTCCTTTGCAGGGCCTCAACTGTCTTGCATGGTCAGTGATTTGTTTAAATGATTGGAAGCTGTCTCCTATTGGCCACCTGTCTCTCTCCATCCCTTTCGAGAAGCTAGTGTCTGG